TGTGAATGCTAAGAAGCTCTCAAAGCACCAGAACAACTATTTCTTCATGTCTGAGCCGGTCTGCATCTGCATGAATATCTTATTAGAAAGATTCCTTCAGGTCTTGTTTGACATTTGCTGCTGACGCTTTCGAAGGATTTCTTAACATCACCCTGAAAATAACTGCGTGTGACATAAAACCATTTATTTCAGTCTATTTAACCAAAGAAATAAGGAAACTGCTCCAACACGTAGCTGCTTTTACGACTCTAATCAAATGTTTGATGGTCAGTCAAGGTTAAAGTGAGCATTAAGGTTTGGGATTTATAGGAATTTAGTGGCAGAATTTAAGCAAGGGCATTATTTCCACCGGGGAAATTATCGTCCACAACTTATTAAAATCACTTTTTTGTCCTATTAACTTTTATTGCTCCTGGCTAATGTCCGGTCTGGACAAAATGGGACTGCAGGAACTCAGAGATGGTTGTGCATCTTTAGAGACCTGCTCCATATTAACATCCCTCAATGTCCTGCTCAACCGGCGGATCGTGATCTGAGCCGACAGAGCGCAGGTGAAGATGAAACCATTTTATCATCACTATCTTGTTGTCTTGTCTTGACACAAGGGTGTATACATATATGTCGATACGTATACTGAATAATTTTATGTTATTCTATGAATTTGATTACCCTTTTCTTTGTGTGTGTTTCATTTTGTTATACAACCTTGTGTTGTGCAATGACATGAATTTCCTTCATTGTTTGACTGTTTCAGGTTGATTTTATAACTGAAGTCTGTCTGAACACTGTTTGTCCTTCCACCACAGTCCATATAAGGGAAGCTCGAAGTGGATAGAAAATGTTTATTATACTTGTCTGAGTGGCCTTCAGTTGTTACTGTCTCTCAGAGGAATAACAAGCTGCAGCAAGTGGTGCTTAGCAGACTTTATATGCCCTGGGTTTCGCCCTTCAGGCTACTTACAAGCTGCCCTACCTGCAGAGACTAGTCAGGGCTGAAAGGTAGAGCCTAATACATTCTTCGGGTTAAAAATCCTTTTTATTTCCATAATATTGTCCTAAAAAAGATTTGCATATCAACAGGAAAAATGTTGCCCT